GCTGTATTCATTTCAGGGTTTATTCAAGAAGTGTTATTTTTGTATAAAACAACCTGTGATACCGTGTAGTAGTAATATATTGTAAAGGAGCAATATTGAGCACTTAAATATCTAAACTCAACAAGTGAAAGTAGTCGAAGTATGAAAGGCCTGCAACCAGACTATTTGAAATATCGTTGCCTATCGTTTTCGAACAATTTTTAGTAATTTTGATATTTAATTCATAGGAATGTGTGTAGATTTGTGTGTAAGGTCATGTGGCAAATTATTTTTAATACGTAAAACGGGTGTCGATTCGCAAAATTATTGTACACGAAATGAGAATTCATGATAAATTACTATTGTACAAGTTTCGCCCCACTTACGTTTGTTCATTGTTATTACATCTGTCATTGGAATTGTCTTTATAGTTAATAGTATAACGGAATATGTTTACCCAGTTTGTAGTTGAGAGTTCAGAAGATTATATTGTCAAAGAAATAAATTCATTGCCCACTTAGAATCATAGGAGCAACGTCTAATATAGCACAAGTGTATGTTGCTATGATGAGTTTTAGACGTAATTGGATTGACAGCGTTATATGACATTGCACCAAAATGGGTAGGGAATAAACGTCCTCGACTGTACATTTGTATGAAAGCAGGAATACGTTAGCACTTATTGTATGGGCTTGTCCAATGGCGTAGAAACTCTATATGTGTAAGCATTGCCAGTAAGTCAACTGCGGTACCACACCCACGGTCCTATTGACCTGATCGCACTCCACCCTTGTTTATCATGTTTATCTAATCATTTCATTCCCTTTGTAAAGTTCCCTAATGCTCTTGTATATTGTTTAAATAAATAATTATTAGCATTTGCCCCCGACGAATTCATACAACATACATTGTAATTATCGTACTTAAACTGACGCACTTTCTAAATCTAAATATTTTCCTAAGGTTTCAAGTGTCTGTGTTGCTCTACTCGACTATTAATAAATCTATTTTTTTTTATGTACGATAACAATATGATTAAGTTGTCAAAATAGGTCAGGACTCATTGCCTGTCGTGTTGGTCCAAACAATCTGTTGTGAATATTATGTTCAATTTAAACTATCATTAGCTCTAATTACTCCATTACGTTTAGTCGTGAAGTTGTTTTGTTATTATACATTTCGTATGTTATTTCTGTCTGTGGTGTTTATATCTTGTGGTACCATGTTTTAATCGAAGTTAACAATGGGAGTAATACTGTGTAAGTGTTTTGTATCTATTCGTAGTTTATTGTAATAAATTGAGTGTCAACTCTGAACTATATCGTCGTGTTTGACATCTGATAATTCAGTGAATTTATTGCACAACTAGCTATCGCCCGCGACTCTGTCTGCGTGATTCCAGACCATCCTCTACATCTACCAAATTTCGTCAAAATCTGTTCAGCCGTTTATGGTACAAACGCTAACAAACATCCATCCATCCGTTTAAACATTCGCATTTTTAATATTAGTATGACTAAATTTTAAATGTCTTATTGTTGGACACAGTTGATATTTAAAGAAAGTGCTTTCTACTATTCCAGTTTACTATTTGGCATTTGAAATAGCAGGTAGAAAGCCACGCGGAAGTTAGCCACGACCCACACCTGTCCGTTATTCAGAAATGCCACCACACCAACAAAAAGCACACAATGTAATACAACATTTCTGATTAATCTTAAAAATCATTTTTTGATTAATCTTAAAAAGTGTATTAATGTTATTAACAATTATAAAACTGCTACTACTATTAATCGTTTATTATCGATGGTATTGAAAGAATGTATCGATGTTTGGATAACAAAACCTATCAAGGGGTTAACTTGTGTGGTGACCACGGTGTTCGTACTATTATAACCAGAAATTGAAATTGATTATAATGAAGATATTAAAATCAATTTCATTTGTCTATTTAAAGCTTTGAGTGCTTTTCAAAATTGAGTGTTAAACAATTCAAGACATTATTAAAGAGATAAGTTTTATTTAGTAGACAAATTCCTGAAGTGAATTTCTTAATATCATATAAATAAATTTCGTATTTATGTTTGCTTTATGAATTTCTTGCTTATAATCTGTCAGTTACGGTCTTCGTCTTTTGATGGTAAATTTTTTGGCACGCACGCGAAAAGACGTGATCTGTTACCTTTGTTTAATAAAGACTGATATTTTCAGTGGAAAAGTAACGAATATTTTAATTAAAAATAGTTTGCAAGGAAATGTTCTGTTACTTCCTTTATTCTTACTTTCATTATCACTTTGAAGTACACGGTTTGAAAACTATTGTTATCAGACTTAACACGACCAAACCTTTGGGATAACACCGTGATCTCTAGTCTTATGGTAGGAGATATCATAAATTAAGTCGTATTCATGAGGTTTATAAGAAAGTACAAGTATCTTGAACCCAATCCCTAACTTGCAATAGTATGTTTTTTTACTCGATTTTTACTCTTACTTCCATGCGTGTATAATAATAATTAATGTATCTTCATGATTTTGTAACGATTTCAGTTGCGTGCGTTATTATTACAGTTTTATACGGCTTCCAGTGACACCGGTGCATATTTAAACATGTTTGGCATCGCTAGATATACAAGAATGGAAATTAAGTTACTGGGGATCCATGTTTGATAAATTACATCGTATATTTTACTATTTTTATTGTAGTATAACTGTGATAAGTGTTGTTAACGTATCAAGACTTCATTCTTGTAGACGTTTAAAGAAATACGTAGAGAAAAAAAGGCGGAGATGATGGATTGATGCATTTTAGAAAGATTTAAAGAATGCGAAAATCCTTTAACCTTTGTTTATAGTCATGTCACGTGTTGTGGATAAAATGCAGTTTATAATGTGTTCCTTATTCCCCGTCTCGGTTGACAAAGCCGCCTATCAATAAATCAATCAACGATGAATGCGATTATGCATGCTAGCGAATACGTTTCGTCTTGGTAAAGATTATGTTCACTGCAATTATTTATTACCATGTTATTTAAGTAACTTGTAGCCTAATTTATTCCGTTTTCGCAATTTATCTAAAGTTAGTGGAAACCTCTTTTACTGTCTGACTAATAATAATTAAATATACGTATACAGTTTGTATACCGTTATTCAAAGAAAAGAACATCAACAATGACAATTTTACAGATGCATTTGAAAATTCTAGGCTCAATTGAAACAGTGCGAATGTTAAATTAACTCAGTATTCCAGCTCTAAACAAACTAGTGCTTTAAATAGCTAGGAATTGCGGCAACACTGAATTGTATTTACACAATGGAGGCGGACTGATGAAACTAACAAAAGAGGTTCACTTCAATGTTCATTTCAATGACGTTGTTGGTTCCGATGTCTGGGAATTTTTCTTAAAATGTGACCATCTATTGGGTTAAAATGGAATATCGCTTCGTAAGTTTCCTACGCAATTGATGTCATATTTTATTACCTACAACAATATACATACCAGATAAATTGAGAAACGGACTGGAAAATTTTAACCTAGCTTTGTTAGTCTGAAAAAAACTAATTGTAGTAATCACGTAGCATGGTGCAATACGATTCACGTAGCAGGACAATTTGGTTCGTGTTTAACGGTTCAGTTCACAACATCATTGTAGTTTATTATTAACTCATTCCTCTGAAGTGGCGCTGCCGGCCGTGAGTGCACTACTCAATCCGCACACGCCATATTACCCCGCTTTCCGGGAAAGTCTCCCGCCACTTATGTACTCCTAGTACCCGGTAATTGTTGTTTCCCGCTCCTGAATGTCAACGGTACACGTATCTATAATATGAAGTTTGCTCATTAAATATTGTGGGAAACATGATGAATAAATAAAAATAGTACTGTGATGCGATCTCTAGAAATTGAATTTTCTTCGTCGAATGGGTGAAAGTATTAAAATGAACTCCAGCGTTTGATGTTAGATATTCGATAGTTGGTTTATAATATTACTATAAGATAACTAAATTACCTTTTTTCTGTAATCCGTACAGTGCTTTACGAAATAGACATTAAGGACAAAATTAAAAAAAACTTTGTAATTATTTTGATCACGACTTCTGTCCTATTAGTACATCATCTACTTGTAGTATTTTCTCAAAATAAAAACAAACCACATTTGTATTTGTTTTCCATACGTGAGGTTAAGGTTATATTAATTTTCATGTAGATGTGACATCGCGACGTCGCAAATAAATATTGAAGTATTTATGTAACTTGCACGCCACTTCATCCGGGAAGATAGTGCAAATATATAAGAATATACTAACTTTGGATTTCAGAACTTGTACTTGTAAAACCGATTTATTCTCGGTCTCGCTACCTTGTATTGGCCGTGACAATAGCTCGACATTTCAAAACACGTCCGACAGTTCATGTTCCTTGTATTATGTCAATGTTATGGCGAGTCACTGTCGTTAGCCTGTTATACAATATCGCCATCCCTCACATTCTTTTTGCGAATAACGGAGATAGCAAAAGTGTTCCTACACGTCACGTGATTTGCAATTCACGGTTAAACTGACCACGGAGTTCCAGAAACTAAAATTAGATTCACCAGAACTTATAAAACAATTTCAAGTTTGAGTGCTTTTGTCTATTAGCAATTTCTAGTATCGCCTGATAACTACTAACAGGCAAACTCATTAAACTAATAACACCGTATATTGTTTACGGTACCATTATACATTGCCGATGCTATCTTTATAACTTAATATGCTAATTATTTTGAACTATGTATATAACATAGTTAAAAATCTTATTTTAACTTATAACGAATTAGTTAAAAGACACTATTTTATCTCTTAGTAGGTAATTTCAACTGATAATAAAATAAAAATGTTTGATTCCTTTTGGAATAAAAGTATGCAACCCGTGTCTGTTTTACATTATATTGCAAAAGTTGTAGCTTAACACCAAATGACGCTTTTGCCGCCATCTGATACACATAAACAAAGTTAACGTACGTTATTGGTGTTCCAGGCAAGGACGGTTCCAAGGTGACGACGGTGGTGGCGACGCCGGGGCAGGGCCCTGACCGGCCGTTGGAGGTGAGCTACTCGGATATGAAGCTCATCGGCAATGGCAGCTTCGGCGTCGTCTACCAGGCCAAGCTGTGCGACAGCGGCGAGCTCATTGCCATCAAGAAGGTGCTCCAGGATAAAAGGTTTAAGGTACGGAATATTACAATCGGTATATTGAAAACTAGCTATTACTCGAGACTTCGACCACGTGAAATAAAAAATATAGACTATGTTACTCAGTGAACACGTTGCTTTTTAAGTGAAAGAATTTTGAAATAGACCCAGTAGTTTTTAGACTTATTTCAATACATACAAAAATCCAAAATTAAAATTTTTCCACTTTATAATTTTAGTATAGCTGTCAATGAAATCTACTCTAGAGATCTAGATAGTTCTTACTATTAAGGTTTAAAATTATTGACTGTCATTCCATAGGATGCGTTCCATGTAATTAGTTTTACACTTGACCCTGACGAATTGATAAGTAAACGAAGTGAAGAGTATCATTGGGGTATCTTAGTCAATAGTTTTATTAAATTAACAGTTGCATGTTAATGTAAAACCAATCAGATTAATTAGTCCAGACACTCGAGTCAACTTGCGTATAATTTTGCAAGTATATTTTGCTAATTCATATTGTTTTGTTGTTTCAGAACCGAGAGCTTCAAATCATGCGACGACTGGAGCATTGTAATATTGTCAAACTGAAATACTTCTTTTACTCCAGCGGAGAAAAGGTATACTCTACATTTATATTCTCATATTTATAAAGGCCAATTTTTCAGTCATTACATCAGTCTCTCTTGACATATCTTTTGTTGATAGAAAGTATATTTTGAAAAACTAGCCCTGGGTCATTACATTTGACCGGTAAATTGCACTTGCACTCAAGCTTGTGAATGCTTGCCATATTGAAATGTTTTTGTAGATCTTATATGTAAGTTACTAAAATGACTGAGAAATGAAAAATTGGCCCTTAATATATTTTGAATACATCTATCAAGGTGGATGAGCTGTTGGTTAAATTTATTGTTTTATTTGGGATAAGGTGGCAGTGGCCGCAGCGGTCAGTCCACTACTAAATGCGATGCAGTCTTTTGAAGTCGCAGTATGTTACAGTCTGATGTTACGCTAGTGTGCTAACGCACATAGATCTATGAACTAGACTAGGCTGGCCGATATTATATCCTATCACAATGGATATAATCCATACAAATTATCGGTCGGTGGCCTGGTATTGTGCAGTGTTTTATCCCTCTATCATCGGCCAGGGCTTTCACTTGCGGTTATTGAATACACGATCATCGGAACACGTCAGATGTCGCGACAGTTTGCTTGCTTTTGTTTTGTTTATTGTGAGAATTTGCTAAGATTATCTCGATCATCTCTTCGTTACTAATAGCACATCGTATTATTGATATTCCTTCTAATGTTTGCAAATGTCATTTTCAGTTTAAGGCTCGTAAGATTTTAGAATCATATTCTTATTAGCAAGTTATTTCTAAACATAGATCTAAAGCACAGATCTTGCGTTAGACGTAATGGAGTCAAATTTTGTGTAATAAAAATTGTTGGTACACATATTTTAACTAGTTTTTCACTGTATTAACAAATCGCTTTGCTATTGTAAATACGATGTTAACATTATTTCTCATCCGTAGTCTTTTGTACAGAAATGTATTTTTAATATTTTCTTATTTTCTAAACCTTTACCAAATATCCCGTTGTTTTATAGTTCAAGGTGAGACAATATTTGTCGCCGCACTCTGGAGCCAAGATCCTTTGGACGTTGGCCAAATTAGTTCGTATAGTACCTATTTACTGAGTTTATAACCATGCTGTTTTATGTGGCGAGGCAATTTATATTCATATTGACATAGCTGTCGTTAAAAAAAACTTTATTTATGCAGTTAACTCGATTAGTTAGTTGGGTATCAGTGTTACGTATTTAAGCCATTTTTCTATTGTAACGTGTTGGGCTTCGGCGTTATATAATTTCATGATATGACTTCTTTTGGTGCATGGAATGCAAATATCATGACAGATTGGTGACAGGACATGACTAAGAAATGACACTCACTTTGATTTATATTCGTTATGTTAGGAATTAGATGGTACCTACACATATATTAAAAATAATATAGGGCTTTAACAAAATCATTTACTCTTTGTGCCTATCCCACAATTCTTGTAAATTGTCAGATAAAAATGTAAAGTATAAAATATGTGATGGAAATATCGGATTTTGGTACTCTATCTGACAGTGAATTCACTTTTAAGCTATCTGAGTATCAGTCAGTAGTGGCACAGGCCCTTTTTATCTTATTAAAGAAATATGCGTAACTTTTTTATAACAAGTTTATAGTAACAAAGTAGTTATAGTGTTACAAGACTTAATACTTATCTGTTTTACATTATTATAATATTAGATAACTTAGCGAAATATTTAATAATCTTCTATTGTCAGGCTACAGATGGGCGATGAATGTTTATATGAACGTAAAGGCGTTTTGAAAATATTTTCCTTGATACAAGCTTCAGTGTTAGTATAAGATAGTATGTAAGGAAGTTATCAGTTTGTTCCTGTTTGGTTGCAGAAGGACGAAGTGTACCTGAACCTGGTGCTGGAGTACATACCCGAGACGGTGTACAAAGTTGCACGTCACTACTCCAAAGATGAACAAACCATACCCATTAGTTTTATAAAGGTATGGATATAGTACAAGTACAAGTAAGAAGTGAATTGTTAACTGACTTTATTTAATTATCTTAACATAAATTTAACTCGTGGTTAATATAAGTGTGCAATTGTCTTGAATCTTGAGGAGAATGCCACATTAAGAATAAAACTCAATTTAACTATAGATGCTTTTAACTTTGTTTGAAAATATATTTATTGTTATAGTATTTACATGCTATGCAATAGTAAAGTAATTAGAAAAAAAATATAATTTGATTTATAATTCATCCCACAAAGAGAGCATAAGGTTTGTTTTAAAGTGACTTGTCTGATTGTCATTGATTGCGGTCATTACTAATATTGGCTGGAAATCCTTAACCTCTGGCTTCTCTGATTTGTTTTCTAGTTTATTTTGTATATTTTACTAGCTGTTGCTAGCGACTTTGTCCCCTAGAAATTAAAAAAAAAATGTGTTACTCAGTGATAACATAGCTTTTTAACAGTGAAAGAATTTTTGAAATCGGTCAAGTAGTTTTTTTGTTCAATACACACAAAAATACGAATCTTTCCTCTTTATAATATTAGTATGATTAAAATATTTATGTGTGTATTTATGTACGTTCCAGCTGTACATGTACCAGTTGTTCCGGAGCCTGGCGTACATCCACTCGCTGGGCATCTGCCACCGGGACATCAAGCCGCAGAACCTGCTGCTGGACCCGAAGACGGGCGTGCTGAAGTTGTGCGACTTCGGCTCCGCCAAGCACCTCGTGCGCGGCGAGCCCAACGTCTCCTACATCTGCTCGCGCTACTACCGCGCGCCCGAGCTCATCTTCGGCGCCATTGACTACACCACTAAGATTGGTGAGTGTACTGCAATATTACAGTGGTATTCTAATCTACAGGTCTTGGGTTCGAATCCCGCCATGGAATGACTTATTTTTTATTTATATAATGTTTTTCCATTGAATTACCTTGGTTTCTTACCTTTCAATAATTAACTTGTTTTAACTTACGTATGGAGGACTCGAAGGCGTTAGCAGAATATTTTATATTAATAGTTTTTACTCCCAGGGTACTAACATATAGTTAAAACGTAACATTCGAATTGTATAATGGTGTGTCGTGTCAGACGTGTGGAGCGCGGGCTGCGTGGTGGCGGAGCTGCTGCTGGGGCAGCCGATATTCCCCGGCGACTCCGGCGTTGACCAGCTCGTTGAAATTATCAAGGTAATTGTTTAGTGAAAGGAAAAGGCAATTATGCGTTGTTATAAGATTTGGGTTCTTTGACTTAAAAATACCCAATACATTATTCAGATGTTTTAAAAGTAAAGAAGACCTTTGTAATGTTTTTAATTAATCACGTGGTCGTGGGTTCGAATCTCGCCCTTCGACTGTACTAAAAGCCTAGAGCTTAGTTGGAATGGTAAAAGAAATATTAGTGAATTAACAAAAATCTCTTAATGTTTTACGTTATTTTATTTTAATCTGCACTTAATTATGGCACTATCCTTATAAAGTTACTTTGTATGTTATTTGAATTAAATTTAAATGTTTATTTTTTTCAGGTTTTAGGTACACCGACACGCGAGCAAATTCGAGAGATGAATCCAAACTACACGGAATTCAAATTTCCACAAATCAAAAGCCACCCCTGGGCGAAGGTCAGTATAAATAACATTAAAAATTCATTAATTGCCACTTTTAGTCATTGCTTTTAGTATTTATATCGACAAAGATGCAAAATCTATTCGGTAAAGGCTTCCTCTGAGAGGTTACAACAAAATAGGTAAAAAACAGTATTTTTTTATTTATTTATTTAAACTTAATTAAAATACTAAGGAGATTGTTATGTTTTTTTGCTTATCGTATTAAAATCGTATTTTAATTAAGTTATGGCGTGTTGAATATAGTTTGAATGTTCATAATTAGTTAGGTGATAGTTGATAGCTACTACTGCATTGCAGCACATGCTGGAGCGTATGACGATGCCCAAGTCGGCCACTGACCATCAGCGCATTCGAGTAAGGCAACGTTGTACACTAACCTAAATGCCTCCATTTCACGATATAAACCAACTAAACCCCCTTTCCACTAGCGCTTTAACCGCGCGACTATCGCCTTGGGCGGTGGCTTGTGGAAATGGCACCTAAGCCCATTAAATTCATTATAAACTTTTCAAATACTTCATTATAACAGTTACTAATGTGAGACGCAAACTTATTCTATGCTTGTTTTGGGATTTGTAAATGAAGGCATTTAGTATTTATTCACATTTCTTGCCTACTGTTAATATTATTTCACATTTATGGTGTCTACAGAAAAACACAACTTATATTTCATTTCGAATAGTTTATACACTGTCTGGTTAAAAATAAAATGTTGAGTACACAAGTTTTGTTAAAAAACTCCGAGTTAACTTATCTGAAATACAATTTTATATTCTAAATTATAATTTATACTATTTTACCCATAAAATTATGTGAAATGTGAATAAAGATGAAAACATTGGGCAAAGGACCGGCATGGGTTAACTAGAAACAACACTATAGTCGAAATCTTATTTGACCGGGATAAATTATCGCATTAAGAAAATAATTTTTATTGAAATAAACTACTAAAATATATTTATAATGTACAGTTCAATAATCTGATAAAAAACAGTTTTCAAATGTTTGAATAACTTCAACCCAGTCAATTTTGATTGAAACTATAACAATAACAGTAAATTCAATAAATAAACATTAATTTTTGGAAAGTGAAATATCTGCTAATTTCGTTTGTAGAGCGTTGTCTCTGTTACTCTATATCAGACAGAGATAGCGCTCTACAATGACGAAAGTGCCAGATTGTCTCTTTCTAATCTAATGTGATCTTTACAGTTGTTTACTATACACTTCTGTTACTGCCACATTTCTTGTTTGTTGGTGTTCAGTGTGTTCGACTTGAGTGGAGTTATGTTTTGTTTATTTTAATATTATACAACTATTTGTCTTACTTTAAATAAATTGGAAATTCTTTGTAATGCGCTTCAAAATTTGATTTGAAGTACAGAGGGGTTGTATAGTATAAGATTGTATAGCAGGAATTATCTTATGTAAGTTAGCGAAATACATAAGAAAAGTCTGTAAATATGTATAAAAAAATATGTTGTACAGTTCACCTGACAATAACTTGTATAAAGACAATCATATCATGCAAAATTATTATATAGCATTTCACACAGAAGTATTTATAGGTGACGATTTTGTTTATTTATGGTGGTTAGTGAAGTACTTACCCTAGGAGTGTTTGTTATTTGACCCTTTTGCAAAATATACAGTGATCGAGTTCGAGGATCGAATGGTCCAGTGTAAAAAAGTATACTAGATCGGACACTGATATATCGGATAGGATTAGTTACGACTAACTAGCTAGATAAAGCTATAGCTGTTCAGCATCCAACAGTTGACACATACTGATAAATGATGTCGGATAGAATTCGAAATTATTCTATGAACATCCACAGGGATTGATGTTCATCCAAAGAGTGTCGTATTCTCTTTTATAAATAAAGAGTTGTGAAGGTAATGTGTGTTGTCGTGCAGGTGTTCCGCGCGTGCACGCCGCCGGACGCGATCTCGCTGGTGTCGCGGCTGCTGGAGTACACGCCGGGCGCGCGGCTGTCGCCGCTGCAGGCGTGCGCGCACAGCTTCTTCGACGAGCTGCGCGAGCCCGCCGCGCGGCTGCCCAACGGCCGCGCGCTGCCGCCGCTCTTCAACTTCACCGAGTACGAGCTCGCCATACAGCCCTCGCTCAACGAGTTCCTCAAGCCGCGCGCGCACAACGCGCCCAACGCGCCTAATGCGTCCGACGCTCCCGGCGGCTCCGGCTCCGGCGCCGGCGCTGGCGCCGCGGACCATGCGCACGACTCACAGGGTACGCACGCAACCAACTGTACACTCTACACTATACATCATTATTGTTATTAAAATATTTTTTTTTGTGATATATTACGCCCTTTAGGGGCGCTGTACAAATCTAAAACAAGTTTAGTCAATGGTACTGCGAAAGTGTTTTTACGAATATTCGCGACAAGCTTCTAACACAAACTTTTTTTTTTTAATGTCATAATTAATAAATGTTATTGCATCCTTACCTGGACATATCGGAGAAAAAATTCAAAAGATATGATTGTATTCATAATAGTGTTATAAGACATTCGTGTTTAAACATTTGTATTTGCCTCTTGCTAAATGTTATTTGTTTGCCATCAGACAACGCAGCGGCGTGCGGGCCGAGCGGCGGATCGCCGAGCGCGTCGTAGACGGCGACGAAGCCCACGCCCACGTCCGCGCCCGCGCCCACGACATCGACCATCGACCGTCGCCCACGCCCACGCCTGACCTCATCGCCTTGCCCACGCGCTGATCCCGACGCCCGACAGACTATCGCCACTCTAAATGCATTTAGGGCGACCGTTCCTCACCTCACTCGGTTGGACGCACGTTGCCGGAACGTGTCGGAGCATGTCGGAACATGTCGGAACGTGTCGGATGCGATCGGAACTAAGATGGGTAATTCATATGCTATTTAGTGATAGTATTTTTATTTTCGTGTTGGCCATCGGGTAAAATTATATGCATAATAGGTGTTATCAGCGAGCAGTCGTGATACCGTAGTGTTTGTGGAAAGCTTGAGCTGTCGCAGTCGGTGAGAAGGGTAAAATCCGCAGTAGACTCTGTACCGTCTCCATGTGATTACTTTGTACTTTTGTAAGCTCAAATTTTTTTTTATGTAAATACCTTATTACTGCGTTTTTAAATTAATGATTATTTTGGTGAACGTCAGATTAAATATCTGGATAAATGGTATTGTTTTATATTTTACATTGTATTTGCTTATTTTTCTGTCGTTTAGTACATTTTATTGTAGCCGGCGTACTCGGCGAGTACCTTTATCACATGACGGGGAGCGATCGTTGTAATATTGTACAACAAAATCACCTTTGGACCTTAAATTAGCTTGGGCCGTGTAATCAGTAGAGAAATATTCGAGTAGTGCTTTAGAATATTTATAATTGAATTGTATCACGTACCGATGAACTTTTATGAAGGTAGTTCGCTTTCAATGATGGAATTATAGCAAATGAAACATTATCTTGCACTCACAAATGCGTAATTGTAAATTTTTATAACTAGCATAAACTGATCTCTCAAGATAATTTGTAATTTTTATTGATATCTCAGAATTTTATGTATTTGTACAATTCGAAGAACATAAATTTTTAGATTAACTACATGATAGATGTATTCGTTTATTTGGGCAACTTTTAAATTAGTAAAAAAAAGTTTTAAATTGCGGTGTACCTTACCTTGTCTTACCTAGGGGCGGGATAAATGTTAATATTAATAAATAGCACTGTCTGTCGATGTCCTATTGTAATGTCATAGTTTTTCGATAATATTGTATTCTATAATATAAAGAATATTTCTGCTATGTAAAATTTGTCATTGAAATCACATTATTAGTAGTCATTTATGATACGAGTGTTTAAATAATTAAATTCATTGTCATAGTTTTTAAGCTTTCATTAAATTTCATTTTCGCACTACGTGTTGGATACAGTTACAAATTAGTGGAGGTTTATTAAAGCCTTTAAGTGTAGAATAATATTTAATTGATTAGACGTAGCGAGACGTGAAGTAGTAACACTCCGCCCTTTGGATCGCGACGATCTCACGTCGTCACATACAAAACAATTATTAACAAAGCACTTCAAATACTAATTCAATAATACAACTACACACAATATGCTAACTCTTTCTCATGTTAAATTCAGTGCAAAAAGTTTATATAGACCCAATAAGTGGGTCGGAAAATTTTATTTGAATTTTGGATACTATATCCACTAGCAAATAATCATGGCAATTCCCATAGAAACTTATTTACGGTAAACTATGTGTTTTTGTTATTTTGTTTAATAAATTAATTATATACTTATATGCTTACTGGCATGTATTATGTTTACAACATTTACATAATGTTTTCTTGCAATTTTATTATTAAAAATTTTTAACGCATGTGTAATACTGAAGGTCATTTTATGATTCTCAAATTTTATATGTAGAGGCATCTTATGTATTTTGTCTCACTAAAACGCTTAGCTAAATGATACCATTAGCTCTTATTCACACGGGCGTCTGTTTAACGCTCTCGGTCTTATGAACGATTTTAAATCACTCTTATTCCGTTCTGACAGACTTAAAAATGCAGTACTGCGCGATAAAAAAGTGTTATGGTATAATAGATACATGGAAATGCATTTGTTATATTTGAACGTTTTTTTAACGCGCGTTATAGTGGTGCACGTGTGTATGGTTAATGGTACAAATTGGTAAAATAAGTGACATTGGATTGTCAATTGAATGAAATGAAGCAGAGAGGCCTCGTTGCACAGTGATGAGATTGACGCGCTTGGCTGACGGCACGCATCCATTGGGAAGTCCCGTGTACATTTGGCGGCGGCCAAGTATATAATAAACATTGTATTACTATAGGTATGTACTAATTACGTATAAATTTGTAGTATTTTAAGATATATAACGCGCTCGGCGCAAGATTTGAAATCACACATAGCGGAGCTTAGTTGTCCCTAAGGCTGCTGATTTGCTGACACCTTTATAGTTCGTGTAAATATTACCTTTATATGACTCTGAGTATATCGGGCGGCAGTCGCGCCGCCCGCCCCTCGCCCTGCGCCCCGCGCCCCGCGCCCCGCGACTCCGGAGCCGGCGAGGTCTAACATAGTCTAGATATGCATATTTTATTAAGTCTTATTCTATGAATTTTGTAATCGACGTCGCTTCTAAAACCCTCTGTGTAAAAAGTTAAGACATACTAGTGACCTGAATGTTTGAAGCTGTGTTGTCGGAACTATCCCACTGAATTCTCACTTTGATTCGCGTGCACGTTTACTGACCCACGAGAGAATTGTCCGTCGAGCAACACTTACGACTACAATACATACACACTTCGAAATGGGGTTGACTTTATAAATTATTTAAAGTGGAAAAGAGTTTTCTTATTACTAGTACTGTAATATTAAATTTAATAGTGAGTGAAAAAATGTATTTTGTTTTTAATTTGTTTTATTGAATTTGAATACATAGTAACACCCATATCGTTGTTAGTTATGAATGAAAATAACATAATTATAAAAGTAAATATTAAATGAATAGTAAACATGGTTTTTTATTTTGCACCTCACACAAACAGCTCTCGTCAAGTAAATTATGCATGTTTACATTGTAAAAGTTATATGAAATTAAAATTAATATCACAAATTAAAGACAGAAAGCTATTTATAATTAATTTGACAAATTATCGTTATAAATGCAATGATTTTAATATTTGACATTATATAAAATTTACAATAAAACTATGACTATAATGCGATTTAATTAAAAGTAATTAAAACGCAGTATCTCTTTTCTTCTCAATAATTGTTCAATCTGTAACATTCTGATTGCCCATTCCGAAATATATTGAATGAGATGGTCTATAATAATTTTATTTTCTAATACTTTACTCGCTCTCACTATTATTCGATGTTAATAAAATATTAGTAGTTGTTTAGCAACTACAATAATAAGGTAGTAACGTCAGCTGTGTGCAATTGCAAGATATGTATTTTTATCTGTTTTTGATCGTAATTAAATGAAAATTAATTTAACTGGTACTCATTTGTTTTATTTTTTAAGCGGTGGATTTACACTAGCGAAGTTTTAGTGTATAAAACATGTGATCCTTCTTATTCTTAAAAACAAAGTTGTCTTGGTAGCATTAAAGGCTTGAAATGTGTAAATATTCACCCTTAGTGTTAATGACTGGCTCCAGGTGAGATTCGAGCGCGACGAGTCGAGCGGTCATTGTTATCGTAAGTTCTGCTTGTAGAATCACGAAGACTTCGCTAATACGTCATCAAAGAAGCATGAGGAAGAATTTTAAATTTTCAAAAACTTATATTTACATGCAAATCTAGGCTCATAACCTCTTGGTAAAAGTTGATGTGAGCTAAACAGTAAGAGAAAAAAAGATCATCATCCACTTGCCCTTATCTCTTATGGAGGGTCGGCACAGTATGTGCTGCTCTTCCATACATTTCTATCAGCCGTCATATCTGAATCTACTCCTTTCTTAAGCATATCCTCTTTCAACCAATCCATACTTTCTTCGGTCTTCCTCTTCCTTTGTAGCCATCTACATTCAATCTTAACACTTTCTGGTTTATGTCCCCATCATTTCGTAAGAGAAAAAAAGATGCGAAATTAAATTACTACTCCTTAGCACAACATTTATGAAAAAGCAAGTAGCATTTTGGTTAATGTTTGTTTTGTGGTCAGCTGCTACACGTCGCCATCAAGGGATACGACCCTAAACTCATGGATGACTTGACCTTAGTCAACCAAGGTGGCCCAAAGCAAATTACTGTTATATTTTTCTGCAATATAGCGAGGGTTTATATTTTTCTGGTCAAACAGTCTTTACATTTTTATGTTTATCTGTAAATTAGGAGTAAATCACAGACAAAATATTTGTCATCTATAAAAAATAAACGTCAGTTGTCAAACGTCAAAACAGCAACAAAACAAAAACTGTAACAAAATCGGAAAATACACATAGAAAAAGATATAATTTCATTTTTCAACATGAAATAATATTGATATGATTACATTTCTTAAGTAATTACAGTAATAGTAATGTATTCATAATTTAATTGCTTGAGAAGATTGAAACATCACGGCTGCTGTTGCAAGATTATCTCTTCAATTGATTTAAAGTTGTTCAATAGAAAAAATAATCATGCACGGAGCATATGAAGCGTCACATTTGCTAAATGCAACAGTCCAGATTGAAGCTATCGCAGCTTATGGTAAGTTCGCTAGAATTTATCCATCTAACTAGATATATACATCCAACCATTATGTATGAATAAAACAACAAAGCAACAAATCTTATTACTTTTAGATGATAATTTGCTGTTGGGTACGAGGCAGGGTCACTTATTGATGTACTCATTATCAGCAACAAATGGAAATCAAAAATATGAATTGCAACTTCTACGCTATTGCAAGAATTTTAGTAAAAAACCAATTCAGCAAATAGAAGTTATACCTGGTATGTATAAAATATTAAAAGTCATCTATGATTTATCCAGTGATTAGTGGAATGATAGAAAATTATGAAATTCATAGACAAGCAATGTAGAATGGACTATTAGTGATAGCTATGTAAACTGCTTTATGTATATTTCCAGAGGACAACCTGTTATTATGCCTCACAGACAATCTCCTATCCACATATGATATAAATGGAGTCAATTTTCCATTTATAAAATCAATTCCACAAACCAAAGGAGCATCACTTTTTGCTTTAGATAAAAAGGTAAATTTAATAACTTGGTACTTAAAAAATAATATTTAAAAATTTTACTTTGTTATCTTGTTAGCAAATGTTATCTTCATAGGTACCCATAACATTGCAAAAGAAAAATTTGGACCAAAGTACTAGATAATAGGCAAATCTTTAAAAAAAATGTTATCACCCTAACCTTATACTACTTATGTAGGCATGCAATGTTTGCAAGTTTTTATAAATCTTTAGAATTGGCATAGTTTTTACAGCCAGCCTGTATATTGCCAACCCTATAAAAACTATTTCTATTTCTACTTTTAGAGCATGTATACTCCTTCGGCTAAACTATCGCAGAACTGTTTAGTCTCGTTTTGATACATATAGCTTAGATGGAAGTGCACACACAAGTAGTTTTTAGCTGTGCAACTAAAAAGTTGAATTTGTTGCGAACCAAACAACAATTGCATAATAGTTATGTAATTGTTAGTCAATAGTGTGCACCTTCTTTTATATCATTTGTCTCTTTGCAGTGTGCAACATCAATGACAGGTGAATCAAATTCAGTAGTTCATCTATGTGTAGCAGTGAGAAGAAAACTTCAGGTTTATTATGGTAAAAATGGTGAATTTAAACAACACCAATTTGAATTCACCGTTCCCGATGTACCTAAAGTTATGGCATGGGGTCAAGAATATTTGTGTGTTGGATTTAAAGGGGAATACACTCTGTTTGATGTAAGTAACATTGCAAGTATATGCAATAATTTTTTTTAACACAACTAACCCTGAGTTTTCCAAAAAAAATTACAAACACAGTGTTATGACTGCCATTTTTGAAGTGTTTAAAAATAAATAAAGCGTCTAGAAACTGCTTCAATATTAATCGAAAATCATCTGTCTTAAAATATCCTAATATGCGTACTAATTGTTTCCTGAAATAAATAAATAATTACTATTGAATTATAAAAAAAATTATATATTGACATTTCCAGCTTTCTTCTGGCAAACCTAAAGAGTTATTCCCTACAAGTAGTTCTCGTTCACTGGAGCCAACGATAACTAAATATTCAGACAATTCATATCTACTTGGTAAAGACAGCACTTCTGTGCTTGTTGAAGAGGCCAAAGATATTGAAATAAAGAAGACTATAAAATGGGCGGAACCGCCATTGGCCGTAGGTAAGAAAAACATGGTTTATTAATAAAAGTTTGACTAAAACTAGCATTTGAGATATATGTTGGAAGAATTAAAATTTTAATGTTTCTATTTAAATTATTTTTTTTGTTATCTCTACTTATAATATAGAGTATATAAAAATGTATGATCATGTGTATTGTAATAAAATGAGAAAAACGGAGAATTAAATAAGCAGAGATGATTGGACAATTTGTTCAATCTAATTGGGTTGCTTGAGTTATCAGATTCCGAAGGCAATGGTTTTTTTGTATACAAATTTGTAAACCATATTATATAAAAAAAAATGTTAATAAATATATGATTGTGGTATTGATGTGATTATGTCAATATTTCCAGTTGAAAATACATTTGTTTGCAGTGTGGGAAACACCTTATATCTTAGGATTGCTGACGGACCGTATCATAGTGCAGACTGTGGAGCCGTCCATGTTCATCCAGACATTACCCGACTTGAATAAAGCAAGACTTATGTACAGGTTGGTGACTGAAAATGTTATACATATTTTGTACAATAAGGTAACTTCGCGGTGTTCCACTAACGAAAAATTGTCTTGTTCTTAGCAATGATACAAACTCGGACACTCCTTATAAATAACCAATTATTTAGCTGTGTTTGTGCAAAGGGAATCAAAAATAGCAAGTGTACTGACCAACCTTATTTCATATAGGCACATTTAAAACCTGCGTCGTATTATTGTTCCGTGCGTCTCAATGTGTACAAAAGGTCCAAACGACTAGCTGTTAGATGGAGCACCGTCAGATTTCCTGATAGTACATAATTTTACATAAAATCAGATATAAAAGATGCAGAGGATGATGATCTATGCTGTAGCGTTTGATACAGTTATGTGTATTGTATTAATGAGTTAGATTTTTAAGAAAACAGTGAATTATTAAGGAAAATGCATTAAAAACTCGTTTTAATGTTTCGGGAGGGGGATCTTTGAAAGACATCAAGAGATGCCTTCTGAGGGAAAGCTCTCTTCATTTTTTAGTGAGAAGAAATGTTGCTCTTGCTTGCTTTTTACTCACTAAAACCCCCTCGGAGGACATGTTGTGGTAGATAATAGAAAGATATCTTTATATTTGTGGCGGTTACACCGAGCTACCAAGCTGTGGGCTGTCAGTTTGTAACATGTCGGTGTCGGTGTCGGTGTCGGTGTCGGTGTCAGATGCCGGCGCGGGCTGGTGTTCGTGGCGTCGGTGGGGCAGGTGTGGTGCCTGGCGGCCGTCGACGTCGCCAAGCAGCGCCAGCAGCTGCTCAAGGACAAACACTTTCAGATCGCTATCGATATTACTGTGAGCACTTTCATATTTTACAGTCGGTTTCCACTGGTGACACATTTATCTCTAGATTACTATTATAAATGCGAAAGTTTAGATGTATGTAAGTTTGGTTGATTCATAGTTCAAAGTCTAAACTACTGAACAGTACTCGATGAAGTTTAATATAGACTAGCTTTCACCCCCGATTTTGTCCGTGTGGAATAAAAAAAACAGAAGCAAGTAACCTATGTGTTGGTCCAGACTACTTTATACATGTTTTCCAAATTTCATCGAGATTCGTTTAATAGTTTAGGCTACAATCTTTAACATCCTTCCATTCATCCATTATAATGTAGAACATAATTTGTAAAAGCAAGGCTAACAATTATAATTTATTTAATTCCGGACGGAGTCGCAAGTGAAAGCTAGTAATAGGTTACACGCACCTCTTAGCAGGGCATTGAAATAAATCAGTTTTTTTTGTGTTGGTATATTATATGAAGTAATCACAGATACTGAATCCGTTTTGACGCTAAAAACAAATCGAATTACAAATTCTATTAAAAGAGTTTTTTACATGATAGCATATGGACTTTAAAACAACTGTTAATAAAATATAAATATACTAGCTTTCGCCCGCGATTCCGTCCGCGTAGAAATAAAAAAAAACAAAATGGGTAGCCTCTGTGTTCTGCCAGGCTATTCTCTAGGTCTATCCCAAATTTCATCTAAATTTGTTTAGCAGTTTAGACTACAAACTCTAACAAACAACCATCCATCCAAACTTGGCATTTATAATATTAGTAAGATGTAACCGCAATATTACAAATGTTACTAAATATAACTGTATGTGGAACTATCGAGACATTGTTTATCATTTTCCTCAAAAGGCTGAAATAATAAATTATTTAATTAGTTTTGAAATTTTTCAATCGTGAATTGTGGATCATACGAGTACATTTAATTATATGTTAAAATTTAATCCTTTTAAAATGTTTTAGACAAAAAATAAAACAAACAGCCAGCCAGTGTTAAAAATATTATACTCTGTGTTTTAGTCAATTTAAAAATAACAGTAGGTACTAAAATAACTCTAAATTTATCTTAGTGCTTATTTTGGTTGTTAATTTTTCACATATACATTTATTTAAATATATCCTTAGTAGGTTTATTTTATACAAAACTCAGATGTTTTTGTATTTTGTTTTAGATGTCGTTAATTTGTAATTAAAAAGAGATAAAAAAACATAGTCCAACTTACGAAGATCGTAAGTAATAAATGCTCAGCATTCAATTAACATTTTCTTCTAAAAACTTCATCTAAGCGTTTACCTTATAATTTCATCATAACTCCAAAAGATTAATTACAATTATATTGCATCACAGTCGTAAATAGAAATCTATATACTCAAGTTATAAAGAGGAAATATTTGTATTTTAATAAATAATACAGACAAAATTCATTACTGTTTTATTTACTGTAGTAACGAAGTTGCTATCCACAGTTAGTTTATTGATATTCATTATGGCTTTTCGCGTAAAACATATCAAAGAAACCATATCAGGACTTTTGAGTGGTGTAAGTATACATTTAAAATCGTTATTTTATGCAAGAATATTTTAATCCATGATCCACTCCGAATTTAAATTTTCTATGATTTTTACACCAGTGGAAATAGAAGGGCGCATAGCAACGCCCTGACATATAGAAAATGCCATTTGATCAATAATTTTAATGTAATATCTATTCTTTCTTATGTGTACTTTATTTCTTCTATAGCTTCACTCAGACTGTTCCGCGGAAGAGAAGAAACAAACGATCCATTCAATTCAAATGCTAAGTGCTTTAGAGCTTTTCGATGAAAAGAAATACGCTCAATCTATGAAGGTATTCATACAATTGAACACAGACCCGGCGGACGTTATCAAACTGTTTCCAGAATTGGACAACAAGCCAGGTTCAGAAGATGATAGTAAATTGAAAGGGAAAGATTTACAAAATGCGTTAACCGCGTTGATAAATTATCTCGTCGAAGTGAGATTGAAGATCGCAGAAGCTGTTAAAAAAGGCAGCACCGATGATAAGACTCCTGGTACGAGTAGTGATAGTACAAGTCATAGGAATGTCACGCAGCAGTTGGAGTTGATCGATACGACGCTGTTGAAATGTTATTTACAGGTAAAATAATAATTGTTTGGAATGTAATGTAGTGTAATATTTAACATAACGTAGTCTGCTGATAATTTTGGCTATGTTTAAGAAGGGCTATCTACCATTAATATGTGTTTCAACTGGTCTTTACATCCATTTTACGAATCCATGTCTTTCTTTAATTTGAACCAATTTTAAACTAAATAAAATAAAAGTAAAATCATGATTATGAAATGATTAAGTTTGCGTTTTTACACTTTTTAAAAATATTTGGTCTCTTTTTAGCAATCAGATTTGTAACATACATTTTTATGAATAGTATTCGGTTATACATTCTAAATTACACCAAGGAAGTGATAAGGGCTAAAGAAGTGGTACATTTGTAGACGAACGACGCGTACGTGGCGTCGCTGCTGCGGCTGAACAACTGCCGGCTGGAGGAGGCGGAGCGCACGCTGCGCGCGCACGGCAAGCACAGCGAGCTCATCATCCTCTACCGCACCAAGGGCCACCACACGCGCGCGCTGCAGCTGCTGCGCGAGCAGGCCGCGCAGCCGCACTCCGCGCTGCGCGGCTGCCACCAGACCAAGACCTATCTGCAGCAGCTCGGTACGCCGCCACACTCATCGATTTAAACACGTTGGAACGCTCTGTCCTCGGTATTCCTAAACCAATATGACTTAGGGGCAGTACTACCAAATTCTCGTAAATTGCCTGATAATAATCAAACAGATAAAATACGTGACGGAAATATAGGATTTTTTTGTT